GATTAGATCACTTTGTAGTATGGAGGGAGAAGAGATAAGAGCCTAAGACAAAACCTTGAGAGGGACAATTATGGTTAGAGGGATGATCTGGAAGGGGATCTAGCAAAACAGACAGAAGAAGTAATCAGATGGGTAGGAGGAGAAAAAACCTAGAGAGAGTGGTGGTGTCTGCCTTAGTCTCTCCCCACTCCAATTCATTCTCTTTCAGCCACTAAAGTGATTTTCCTAAAGCATAGATCCAATTCATGTCACACCCTCCTCCTCCTCCCCTCTTTCCACTCACATCAATTCCAGTGTCCTCCTATTATTTCCAAGAACAAATACAGAATGGTATTGGTTGGCACCTAAAGCCCTTCCTAACCCAGCCTCCTCCTACCTTTCCATGTACACGTCATGTACTCTGATCCAGTGACACTGGCCTCTTTCCCCGAACAAGACCTTCCATCTCTGTCTCCCGGCATTTTCTCTGGCTGTCGCCCCTGCCTGGAATGCTCTCACTAATGATTTCCCTGGCTTCCTTTAAATCCCAACTAAAATCCCACCTTCTACAGGAAGCCTACCCCAACCCTCCTTAATGATTGATTGTTCCAAGGACTCTCCCACCCCTGACTTTGTGTTCTAAGAGTTCTCCCAAGTTTAACATTCCCTGCTACCCCTTATAACCTTTAAATGGTAATCATTATGGGGTGTCGGGCATCTTAACATAGCCATCCCCTTTATGGACTGACCGAATATCACTGGGCAAAGAGAGAGAAACTCAAATCTGCCCTTCTGACATCTTGTGTGGGAGTTGAAAGGCTCAGGTCCTTCTCCAAACTGGCTGAGTCTCTTTTGTGATTGGCCAGCAGGGCTGAGTCTATCCCTAACTGGCTCTTTTAGCCTCTGCAGACCTTCCCCCTCCACCCAGGGTTTGCTTACCAAGGTGACTGGGAATTAGGTGGGATTTGGGGATTTACACCCTGGAAGCCTGCTGTGCTTGGAGAAGGGTGATTGGTAAAGACTAAGGGGTTTAGTCACATTCTCCCCTCCCTCTGCCCTTGGCTAGCTCTGGTATTAGCATCTGTGGAGATTTCCTTTCCCCTGGGGCTAAGAGAATCTTAATCTGAGGGTTGCGTAGGTGGGAAGGAGATCCTCAGGGCTTTTTTTTTTTTTTTCCCTCTAATTCCTCCCCATTTGGGAGCCCGAGGGCCACACTGCTGGGGAGAAGAGACGTGGGAGGAAGGGATGAGCTGATTGGGTCTTTTCTGCCTGGGCAATGGAAAGAGAAAGGTTTTATAAAGCCTTTGTAAACAGTTTGGGTGGTGCACTGGCCCTGGAGCCCTCTAAATGAAATGAAAGGGACAGCTAGGTGATGCAGCAATAGAGTACCAGCCCTGGGGTCAGGAGGACCTGAGTTCAAATACGGCTTCAGATACTTACTAGCCGAGTGACGCTGGGCAAGTCACTTAACCCTGACTGCCTCCAAACAAGCTAACACTTTAGTTTAGGAAAATTTTGGGGAGTGGAAGATTGGGAGCTGGGAAGGATAAGTGCTTTAAATTGTCCTGAGGGGGAAGGGTTATTTTTTAAATGCCTACTATGTGCTAGACACTTGCTAAATGCTTTGCAACATGATCTCATTTGATCCTCACAACAATTAGATGCCATTATACTAGATATTATTATGATTCCCATTTTGCAGTTGAGCAATCCAGGATTACATAGCTAGTAAGTGATTGAGGTTGGATTTGATCTCAGATGTTCCTGATTCCAAGCCTGGCTCTCCACAGTGCCATCTTGATCATCTGTTTGTGCTTTAATTGGTTGTGGGGGCCGTGGCCAGGAAAGATATCCTTCCTCTTAGAATCTCCCAAACTGGGAAACCTGCGAGCTCTTTGCGGGAGGAGGGGGGGGGAGATGCATCTGTAACAAGTGGTCTTCTAGGAAGTAACTGAACCAGGTTTTCAACTCAGTTCTTTCTGACTCCAGTCCCAGCACAGTTATCTCCGCCGAGCATGAAATGAATCCTAATCCCACCTCCTCAGACACTTACCAGCAGCTGTGTGAAGCTGTGGCTTCAGTTCCCTCTTCTGCAAAAAGCGGACAATGAAAGCTCCTTCACGGGGCTGTTGTGAGGATCAGAGGAGTATATGTAAAGTGCTTTGCAAATGTTAGCTATTTATTATTTATCTAGCCCATTAGAGGCCCTGGAGATAGGAAGGCAGAATGTAGTCCCTACCTTCAAGGATCTTTTACATTCCACTGGAGATGGGAGTGCTTTCCCCCAACTGTGAAGGTAGCAAGGAGTGGATTAAACCTCAGTTTCCTCATCTGTGAAATAGGCATAGTAATAGCTACCTCATGGGCTGTTGTGAAGATCAAATGAGATGATGTATTTAAGATGCCGCACAAATATTACGTATTATTTGGATCATTAAAAACACTGTCCAAGACCCTGAATGGAATCTTCCCTACTCTTTTTCTCCTAGTCAGTCTAGGATTCGGCTCCTTGTTCCATCCGTAATCTCTCCTTAATCAGCCAACAAGCATTTATTATCTTCTTGTGCTAGACCTTGTGCAACAATAAAGTGCAAAAAATAAATAATATGTAATAACTATAAAATATAAATATAACATATAAATAATGAAGTGCAAAAATAAAAGTACCTGCCCTCGGGGCATTCTAATGAGAGAATCTATAAATCAGAACTTAGAAGATAAATAGAGGGTTGATTTACAGTAGCCTTAGAGCTAGGCAGCACAACTGGGCCTGGAGTTAGGATCTGAATTCAAATCTTCACCTCAGACGCTTGCTAACTGTGTGACCCTAGGCGAGTCATGCAGTTTCTCAGAGTCCCAGGTTCCTCCCCGTCATGTGTAAAATGGAGTTAATAATACTTGTATTTAAGGCAGCTAGGACTGGGTAGTGCAGTGGATAGACTGTTTGACTTGCGAGTCAGGAAAACCCAATTTCAAATGTAGCCTCAGACACTTCCTAGCTGTGTGACCCTGGGCAAGTCACTTCACCCTGTTTGCCTCAGTTTCCTCATCTGTAAAATGAACTGAAGAAGGAAATGGCAAACCATGCCAGGATCTCTGCCAAGAAAACCCCAGATGGGGTCACAGTGAGTTGGATACAGCTGAAAACGACTGAACAACAAATCCCTATATTCACTGATGATGAATATAGGTCACTCAGAAATGCTGGGAGATTTGTACCATTTTTCTTCATCTGTTGTCCTTCTGGTTTCCTCTAGAAGTCCTTTTAGGATGATTAGTTAATTCCCCACTAAACTCTCCTTCTTCTCTCTCCTTCCCTATCTTTTTGCTCACCATCTTCCTCCAGGGTATTTTGCAAATGAGTTTAAACCCCAGTTGTCCTTGGTGATCACATCTTTCCCTTTGGTGTGGAGATCTTGTCAATTGCTTTATCTCATTTAAGCTTCTGTAGGAATGGTTGGTAATTAGAATCCACGCTGTCTTATCCTCTCTCCAGTTCTCCATTTTTGCTACCAATAACTTATTTTAGTAGATCAGGCTAGAGCTATTGTGGCTCCACATAGTATGATACCCTTCTTGGAAGGTCCCCTTCTCATTTGGTGTTTCTTTCGACTCTTGTTCTTATGTGTTGATGATCTGACTGCACACGGACCACTAGCTAGCTGACCCATGGATAAGCTCCTCCATTGGTCCTTTCCTAGCCAAAATTTGGAGAATTTGGTGCTCACCATGTCTAGGGCCCATGGGCGCCATTGAGACATGAGTCTTTCCCCTTAATCCTAAACCGTATTTTTTGACAGTTTTTGATCTCCTCCACCGTGCCTGCCTTCACATTGAAATCGCCACATAGCTATGTATGAGCATTTTGACATCATATTTGAGAAGCTTGTGAAGTTCATTGTGGACTTTTCTGTCTCTTCCTCCTTAGCAACAGAAGGCCCTTAAATTGCAGTTCTCTTCACAGTCTTCTTTTTGCTTCTAACCACTCCAAGGCAAGGTGACCACATATGCTATGAAATTATTTTTCAAAATTTAATTTTTGCCCTTGAGTACAGAGTGAAACTATTTCACTGTGAAGGCTGTGAGCCTTCTTTCCAGATAGTGGCAGTCTTCTGGTCAGTCGATCAGCAAGCATTTATTAAGCGCCTACTATGTTCCAGGCACTGTGCTAAGTGCTGGAGATAAAAAGAAAAGCAAAAACAATCCCTGCTTTCAAGGAACTTACAGTCTAATGGGAGAGACGTGTTGATATTGGTAAGATTTAGTCCGTCCGCCAATTCTGTGACAGTATTGTCGGTCATTGAACAATGATCTCTCACTGAAGCCACCAATAGCTATGTTATTATTTATAGATGGTCTTAGGAATCCTCGGTTCCCTTTTCTGCCATCGTCACACAGGATGAGGGAGGACCTTTTTGTAATTGTGCTGCCAAGCAATTGGTGATCACCTCCCAATGAGGTGTTGAGGCTGGTCCTTGGCAGATGTAGCATGTCATCAGGACTGTGCCTGGAACCTCTTCAGCTTGGAAGAACCTGCCAGATGTTGTCCTCAGCTGGCCTGGCCTTCCAAAGACCCAGGGTCACCCACACACCATGATAGAGCATCAATGGGGGGTTTATGTGTTTGGACACTGCCAAACATTACTATCCAGCAGACCTTGACAGTGTCAGAGCTGGGACACAGTGTCCTGGCTTGGAGGGCCCTTAGAACATAATGGTGGAGCTGGTGGAGCTCAGAACTTTGAATGTCAGAGCAGACCTTTCAGGTTCATAGAGCCTGATTCTTTCATTTTAGAGATGAGGCAATGACAGCCAAGGGAGGTGTTGTGGGGAGCAAGCAGTGCCTTGCCCAAGTGAGCGAGTCATAGAGCTGGGGTCTGAGTCCAGGCCTTCTCACTTCAAATCCAGTATTCCTTCTCCCTTACTTTGTGTGATGGGAAGGAAACAGAGCTATCTAAAGCATTCTTCCCTGCTAACCTCCATTCCCCTTCCCCCTACCCCCTCCTTTTATTTCCCTGCAGGTTCCATTGGCTTCCTGGCCCTCTATCTCATATTTGGATATGGTGCACCCCTGCTCTGCAATCTCATCGGATTCATCTACCCAGCATATGCTTCGTGAGTGAGGTCCCTCCCTAGGGGCTAACCCTGGGCTAAGCAAGGGAATGGGCTTGATTGGTCCAGGCTGGTTGAGACTCCATGCGTTCCCCAGAGAGTCCTTGCATTATCTGAGCCCTTCAGCCAGAAGACTGATCTGCCTGTAGCAGATAAGAAACTGCTGGAGTGGGTGCTTTGGGAAAGGGAGGAGAAAGAACAGGGGCCCTTGGCTCTCAAGGAGTCCAGGATCTTGAGAGGAAGACAGCAGGCTGGCCAGCAGTCTAGACTGTTCAGAGAAGGATCAGCCCTGACTGGCTGGCTCTTTTGGTGGCCCTACCTGGAGAACCGCCTCTCTGTGATGTCTAGCCTTATGCTGCCAGTTACTTGCTCCTTACAACTCAGATGTGCCTTACAGCAGAACTAAGGGGAGTGGTTAGGGCTGGTTGGGTACCAGGTAATCCAGGGAGGGTTCCTGCAAATGAGGAGTGTTGAGTGAATTAGGCTTTTAGAGGAAGGGATGGATGGTAGATTGGGGAAAAGAAACCCAAAGACCCTTCTGACACCCCCCCTTCCCCATCTGCTTCCTCTCAGTGCCTCTTCCCCCTTAGACTTCTTAGTTGATGCCCCACAGTCCAAGCCTGGTATGGTTGGCCAGGGTCCTTGGCACTTACTTCTTGCTCTTTTTTTCTCCACAGCATCAAGGCCATTGAAAGCACCAACAAAGATGATGATACCATCTGGCTAACCTACTGGGTGGTATACAGCATATTCGGCCTGGCTGAGTTTTTCTCTGACATCTTCCTTTTCTGGTTTCCCTTCTACTATGTAGGGAAGGTAACCAACCAGTGGGCCCAATGGGGGACTTTGGGTGGAGGCAGATAGGGGTTTTATTCCTGTTCAGAGAGTGGAAGGATGGGGTGGGTAGGATCTAAAAGTCAGCTCTGATAGATGGGGGAACATCTGATCTCTGACCTCAGGGAGTCCCTTGTATGGGGGGGGGCCAGTAAAGAGTTCCACATGGGCCACGCCAACCCTTTCCCCCTGCCTTGTCCAGTGTGCCTTCTTGCTATGGTGCATGCTTCCGGCAGCCTGTAATGGCTCCCAGGTCCTGTATCATCGTCTGATCCGGCCCATCTTCCTGAGGCACCAGGCTTCCGTGGACAGCCTGGTGACTGACCTGAGTGAACGTGCCCTGGACACAGCGGCCAATTTGACCCGGGAAGGTGAGCCCCTTCCCCATTCCGTCTCGTCAAACGCCTCTGGCCTCTTGCTTGGGCACTCTGGCCTGTGCTTCTGCTTGCTTTTCCTTACTGTCTCTGTCTGTGCCTCTATCTCTGTTTCTGCCATGCTCTCGGGATCCAGTCCTCCAGGTCTTGGCTCACAGCCGAATGGTGCTGACCTCCCAGGTGGTTCCTCAGCTCCCTCCAGAGTCTCCGTATGTAAATTTAACCTTCCCCACCCCATACCAAGGGTGTCATGGCCAGGATGGGGGTGGGAAGGGGAAAACCAGGAGGGAGTTCATGAAAAGAAGCTTGTGGTACAGGAAGGAAGGGGTCTGCCCCGAGCAGTAGGAGGACTGCTTCTTGTCTCAACTAACTCACTTTATGTTCTCGGGCAAATCGCTTCCTGCTTCTTTCCTGCTCCGAGCATTTAAGAGGTGGTGGTGATAGGGGGTGGGAGTGGAGGGCCCCTCCGCCTCCAGCTCCCTTGGTCGTTGCAGCTGTGGGCCAGGGGAGGAATGAGAGGTCTCTATCCTATCCCAAGCACTGCTGTGTGTGTTGGAGAGGCAGGATGGGCCAGCCCTTTGGGGACAAGCCCTGGACGTCAAGGATGGAGAGGTTACCATTTGATCTGAGGGCACTGGGCACCTCAGCCTGGGACCAGTTCTCTAGTTTTGGTGCTGGGGGTGGCAGGTTCCTTTTTTCCTGTTTGGCTTGTGACTGGGGGAAAGGGGCAGCAGCTTCTCCTTTCTGAGCTACATCCTTCCCATTCCTCTGAGCTTTGGCCTCCTCACCTCTTTCCTTTCTGCCCCCATTACTCTAAAGCAATGTTTCCCTTCCTCTCCTAGTCCCCACCTTCACTTCCCTGCCAAGACTGTCCTTCCCATCACAATTTTCCTTCTGTATCTGTTTCCATCACTCTCTTCCCCTGGTCTCTATGTAGCACCCCTATCACAGCCTATCCCTTCCCCCTCCCTCAAAGTCTCACCTATGTCCCACTTCCCCCAGCAACCAAGGCAGACATGATTCACCCCCAGAAGAATAAGTGAAGAGTTCACTCCTGAGTCAGAGGCTTCGAATGACCGGACACCTTCCTCCCAGCCCCCTCGGCATCAAGGGATCCTGGCCCGTGTCTAAGCAGCTGACCCCTTCCAGTTGTATGTCTCCAGCCAACTCCACCCTCTTGGACTTTAGGGCATTAGAGAAGTCTCGCCAGGCTGGGAGGGGGGGTGGGCATGGTGGGGGACCTCTGTCCATTTAGGTTCTACCAGCACTTGGCCCTGCTGGTACTCAGACTGTTTTAGTATACCGTTAGCCATCTGCCTCTGGTCCCCTCTACCACCACTGGCCTCCCACAGGACTCTTGATGTGTCCTGGCTATTCCAGCTGCCCATGTATTAAAAAAAAAAAAAAAAAAAGTCCTACACAGGCCAAACTTGCTTAACCTCAAGGTTTTTTGGTGTATTTGTTGTTATTGAGGGGCAGGGGAACAGAGGATGAGAGGAGTATTAATTGTTAGAAGAATCTCGGCTGTCTTTAGTGCAATAGGGTCTGTGAGTAAGAAGCTAGTCCAAGGTGCCTCCCAATTCTGACATTCCGTATTTTAAAATCCTTGGTTCAACTCAGCCAGCAAGGATGGTCCCAGCTGTGCAGATGAAGTCTGGCCTGGGAAAGGATTGTTTGGCTACATTTAGCCACTAGAGGGTGCCATGGTCCCATCCAATCCTCTGCCTATGAATTATTTCATAGTCCTGCCTGCTGTCCCTGCTGTGGACCAGAAGGAGCATGAGCCTCAAAGCTAAAAGGAACCTTAGACATCTCCACAATCGGGGTTAAATGATTTGCCCTCGGCCACACAGCTTGTATGTGGCTGAGGCCACATTTGAACTCGGGTCCTCCTGACTCCTGGTCCACTCTTTATTTTTGCAGTTGGGGTAAATACTTTTGTCACACAGCTAAAAAGTGGCAGAGGCAGCATCGGAGGGGAAAGGGAGAAGACTAGGGCATTTCAGAGGCTGCTGAAAGTATTGGGGCAGACGAGCATCAGCCATGCCATAGTGAAATGTTCTTGGTGGGGGGGGGGGTCTAGTCCCAGCTTCTCGACTAGATGAGGCAAGTTATTTCTGAAGAATGCGCCTTTCCTCCAGAGAGCGACTCCCTTAGGGCAGTGAACAGCATGTGGCCAAAGCCCCAAAACAGCCTGTGGGTGTTTGCTGTGCATGCCCATGATCCTTTGGTACACATTCTGCCTTTGGCTTCCGGGCTACCCTCAGGAAGGGAGGACTCTGGTTATCCAGGAGATAGCTCTCGCTCCAGGGCTGGAGCTGGGGGGGGGGGGGGGGGGGATTGGGGTAAGAGATGGCCCCAGCTGCCTGCCTGGTGAGGCAGCTCCTGGCCTGGCCTGGGGCCCCACCTCATCCTCCCCAGAGACTATCTATGGAGAGAGCATGACGATTTGTCCCATGCTAAGGGAGGGGAGCTTGGGTAATCCAAACACTAATAATCCCCTACATCAGAATTTTTCTTAAGTGGTTAATGCAACGTGGGTGGAGGGAATCCTCCACCCTTACTCTCCAAAGTTATCTAAACCTCCCCCATACAGAGAGATCTTTGCCAGATCATCCTTTCCTCTGTCAACAAGGGTATCCACATGTCTCTGTATCTAGCAGGAGAACGGGCTTCTCCCCAGAGACAGCTGCATGAGCGGGAGAGTGTGGCATGGTGGAGAAGAGGGTGTGGGAGGAAAGGGACAGGCTGGAAACCTAGAGAGAGGCAGCGTATTGTAGAAAAATCAACACAGGCTAGAGGCCAGATTCAAAGGGAGAATAGAAGATCTAGGCCTTATCCAGAAAGGGTAACCATCTGGGGTTGAGAAGTCTGTTTCAGTGTAAGTGTGAGACTTCCTCCTAGAGGCAGCTAGGTGATGCAGTGGATAGCTGAAGTCAGAAAGAGCTAAGTTCAAACCTGGCCTCAGACACTGAGGTTTGTGACCCTGGGAAAGTCACAAACTTCAGCCTCAGTTTCCTCAACTATAAAATGGGGATAATAATAGCACCTACCACCCAGGGTTGTTGTGAAGATCAAATGAGCACTTAGCACAGTGCCTGGCATGTTGGGTCACTATATAAATGCTTCTTCCCTTCCTTTCCCCTTTAAATGTGAGAACTTCCCTTTGCAGGGCTGTGTTGGCATGTGTTGGGGTTCATTCATTCCACATTTGTGGCAGTCAGACTCTCCATGGAGGAAGGGCTATCATCCAAGAATCTCCAGTGACAGGAAGCTCTCTATTCACCATTCCACTTTGGGATCTTTTTTTTTTCTTCTTTTTTTGGAGGCAATTGGAGTTAAGTGACTTGCCCAGAGTCATACAGCTAGTCAATGTTATGTGTCTGAGGCCATATTTGAACTCTGATCCTCCTGACTCCAGGGCCAGTGATCTATCAACTGCCCCAGGGATACTTTTAACTGTTAGAGAAATGTTCCATAGGGTACTTCCTCCACCAAAGCAGATATGCTGCCCATTTATGATTTTAATACATACACGCCAGGGAGGCTTGGAGGCTATGTGACATCACAATGGCAAAGGTAGAATCTGAACCCAGGTTGTCCAGTCCACATCTACTCCAACTTCTGCCCACTGGGGTCAAGCAGAACAAGGCTAAGCCCTCTTCCAGATGATAGCCCAAATCAAATATTTAAAAGGGTGATAGCAAGTCCTATTTGTCCTCCTCCCCAAACACTGGTGTTGAGGGAGATTATTTCCATACATAGGGCAAGGTCCCCGCCATCAATGACATCATTCATGGCCCAGCCAATGAGACGTGCCAAGGATGGTGTGCCATTACAAGGGTGGATCACCCCTCTGAGAAGTGCCTCAGAGAGGCAGGAGACAATGAGAAGTCTGAGGGGGAGGGAGGAGAGTCAAGGAAGGTTTCCCAGAGAAGTTGGCACTCAAGTTGGGTTTTAAAGGATTGGCAGGATTTCAACAGGTCTTAAGACTTGTGTGCTTGCTCTATGACTTGCCTTCTCAATGGGTGGGGGAGGAGCTGGAGAGAGAATTACGGACTCAGAAGGAATGTCTGAAAAACAATTTATGTGCTATACACCCCACCAACATTTGTGTTGCCAAGGCACGTGTTTCCCCTATATCCTACATTAATTGTTAAATCTAATTGAGTCTGTCTCCTTAAAGCTCTTACATCCTCCCTCTACCCCTCTACCCCCTTTCAACTGATCCTGGTTCGATTTCAACCTCTCGTCTCAAATTATCCAAGAGCTACCAAGGTAGTCTTCCTTGACTCCAGTCTTGTGATGTCTCTGCTCAAAAGGGCCTCTCATTCGTGGTCTTCCACAACTTGGCTCTGACCTACTTTTCCAGTTGTCAGACTGTGTCCCAGCCAGTCTGGATGGCTCCCCATTCTTGTGCCCTGGTCTCATCTTGCCTTCTTCCAGCTCTGCCCCAGTTTACGCTGTCTCCCATTCCTAGAGGGGCTTCTTTTCCTCCTCTTAGTTTCTGTTAAAATATTAAAGGCTCAGCCCAGGTGGTGTTTCTTCCCAGAATCCTTCCCTAATTCCCCAGGTCAGGATAACCTCTCCTTCAAATTTCTCCTGGCACTTTGCCTGGTTTACTCTCTCTTTTCCCATGATCTCACTCTCCCTCATCAAAGTGGTGTAAATGTCTGTACCCCTATTAGATTGTAGGCTCCTAAGGAGCAGGGTCTGTGTATCCATCCCTGGCCCCAGCAGAGGCCCTTCCTTGTACATAGTAGGTGCTTACAAAGTGTTTCTGGAAGGAATGATTGAAAATTGCGTGCTGCTTGCATTTGGATGCCTCGTGCCTTTGACTTGATCTGCATTGTATGCTGTATCCAAATTGTGTTACTGTATTGTGCCATGTGTATATGTGCCCATGGGAGAGAGATCCACTCCTTGGAGTGTGTGTGTGTGTGTGTGTGTGTCCCTGTGGTACCCTACAGGCTGGAAGATTGGAGAAAATTCAGGGTCCAGAGGGAGGCCACAAAGCAGAGGCCAGTTCTGGTCCTTATAGTTTCTGCCTCCTCCTGAAGGTGGGGTAACTATGGGCACCAATGTAGACTGGGCTCCCCTATGCCCATGACCCAGAAGAATCCCCCTGGAGCGCTACCATACCGGGCAGTGTTATTGTAGAATGGATCTGCCCTTTCCAGGGACTCTTGATAGGCCCAGCCTGGTCCTCTCTTGGGGGCAGTCAACTGGGCGGGCAAGGCATGGCCCTCTCTAGAGTTTAGGCAGATAGCCTCAGCCTGCTGGTGGGGCCTGGGGACACTGCTTGGCCACCTCCTGGATGCGGGCGTCTTCTCTGGGAGTCCAGGGCCGGGCATAGCCAGCATGGGGCAGCAGCAGCCGGTCCAGGGTACCCTCATAGTTGATGTGTCGCTGGGCGGCCACTAGGTACTCCGCTCGAAGGACCAGCAGGGGGCAGGGGCAGGCCCCTGGGGCCCAGAGGAACTCCCTCCGCTCTAGTGGGGTCCAGTTCTTGTAGGAATGTTGCACCTGAATGTCATACCGGGTCTCCTCACCTACACGGAGCCGTGCCAGGACCCGGGCCCGGAATACTGTGGATATCAGCAATTGCAGATTCAGGAATTTGGAAAGCAGTTTACCCAGCCCCCTTATTTGTAGAGAGGGCTCAGGATAACCCAGCAAGTCAGCAGCAGAGACAAGGATAGAAAGAACCAGGGCAGGGCTCCTTCCTCTTACTTAGAATCTTTTCAGGACCTGATACATGTCCTGGCCCAATCTCTTCATTGTACAGAAGGGGAAACTGACACCTGGAGGGGTGTGTGTGATTTGTTCAGGCTCATGCAGTGAACCAGTTGCATAACTAGAATTAGAACTCAGTTCTGACTCCTAGTCCAAGGCTGGCCTGTGGGCAGCAAAGGATGGAAGAGCAGACAGTTTGGTGCAAGGGGAGAGCACTAAATTTTGAGTTGGAACATTTGGGTTCAAACCTCAGCTCTGCTTACTCCTTGTGTGACCTCGGACAAGTTAACTTAACCTTGTTTTCTTCCTCTGAATAATAAAGGGGGTCGAACTAATTGATGTCTAAAGTTCTATGGTGTCTATAAATCTAGGAGGCCCAAACCTGAAGGAGCTGGTACTTGGGGTGGCAATAGGAAGTCTGAGGCCAAGAGAGCTCATGGAGGGAGGGGAGATCTTACCAAAGTCACTCCTGCAGTAATGAAGCAGACGCTGGCTCCGTCCCTTGGCACCTGGACATGGCTTGCAGCTCTCTATAGATGGCAATGAAGTAGTTGGCGGGGGGGGACAAATGGATCTTGGTCCCATCTTGTAGGGAGGGGTATTAAAGAAAGAGGGGCTTCCCTGCTCTCTCACTTAGGGAAAAGGGAGACCCACCTGTTTCAATGGGCTGCTCCCGAGGTGGAGAGAAGGGGGCTGGCTGAGTCCAGGATGGGGCAGCCTCCTGGGGCCCCACCTCCACCTCCCGAATCTGTGGCTGCCTTAGAGGACTGCTGTGGCTCTGCAGGACATAATAGGCATCCCTTGGCAGCCAGAACTCAAACTCAATGCCTGGGTTGGGCTCTTGGAAGAGAACCTAGGGGAGCAGAGAGGCTCAGATTCCCATTTATACCCTGTCCCGAGCACCAGCCTCTCCACTCTAGGGGCAGTTTCCCGGCTATTTCCTCCCCAAATCATCCTTCCTAATACCTGTAAGGCAGACAGGCATTCCGTAATCAAAAACAGTACAAGCAACCCACCAACTAGTATGTTATGACCATGGGATTGTGCTGTACAATCACGATACAAAGAGAAAACAATCCCAGCTCCCAAGGATCCTGAGTTCTAGTAGATTCAAGGTCAGTACCATGGACAGAGCCTGGCCTGACTCCTGGGTTCAAGTCCTGACTCTTCCATTCATTCACTGTGTGATCTTGGGTTTCCCCATCTGTCTAATGAAGGGGTGGGGCTAGATGGTTTGTAAATTCCATTCTAATCCTAAGAAGCAGATACAAGGCCTGGGCTTGAATCCAGACTCCAACACTTGCTGGCAGCCTAAACCTAGAGAATTCTGAGCTTCAGTTCCCTCCTCAGTCAACTGGATGTAAGATTCCCCTGTCCTTCCTTTCAGAATGGTTCTGGCTGTGAGACCCAAAAAATAGCAAATTTCAGTAGAACTTTAAAATTTGAAAAGGAAAGTGGAAGTATCATCCCCGTTTTATAGATGAGGAAATTGAAGCACAGAGGATTTCACCCATGGTCCAGGGCTCTCCATGCTCTAGGCTCTCAAGCAGTCTCATGGAGCATCTCCCTAAATGGTCACATTCTGTGTGATATGTCCATTATGCCCCCACCAAGATCTTGCTGTCTTTGAATATATTTGATATATACCTCCCACCATTAGATTGTGTGCTCCTTGAGAAAAGTGGCTGTCTTCTGTCTTTCTTTGTGACCTCAGCTCAAAACAGTGACTAGCATATAATAAGTGCTTAACAAATATTAGTTGACTGCCTGCCTGCCTAGGTTTCTGGCAAATGTAAGCAAAAAACCCTTTGCTCCCGCACAAGCACTCAAGGTAACAAATGGTTTCAGGTCCAGGACAACATTTATTTATCTCACAGAAAATACAACAATCCTGGGAGGGGAGGAGTGGAAGTATTATCCCCATTTTACAGATGAGGGAACTAAAACACAGAGGGCTTAAGTCATTTTCCAAAGACCACACAGCTAGTAAGTGGAGGAGGCAGGGATTAAACACAGGTCTCCTGATTCCAAACCTAAGATTGTTTCTGTGATTTCCCACTGTCTCCTACGATATTTCAGCTGACCCACAATAATAGTATCTTTCATTAAATCCTGGGGTAACACACCTCTCACACCTAAGTCTACAGTAGCCCACAAATAACTTCCCAGGATTGGTCTTTGCCCTCACCCTGGATTTGCAATCACCTGCAAGTGGAGGTCTTCACCTGTGGGCCCAGCTGCCCACAGACTCTCATCTCGGTCATTGGTGCGACTATAGTGGACCTGGGTCCCGGCCACCTGGAAGATCCCTGGCCAGTCAACGGCCCAGTCTCCATTGAAAACATAGCGCCCATCACTGCCCATTAGTGCTGAGTGGTAGGGGAGGGAAAAGAGTTCAAGGAGTTTGCTAGAAGCCAAATCAGAACTTTTTATCGGGCTCAGGTCCCCATGCCTCAATTTCCCACATCCAGTAGGGTGCTAGGAGATCCTTCAGGCCAGAGGGAGGGAGTGGGGTTAGTTTAGCTAGAGACTGTGGGCTGGGTCTGTTTCTCTGGGAGTCCCTATCCATTAGCTCCACCCTAGCCAAGGAAGTAACACCCCCAGATTTTCTCTTTACCCTCTATCCCAGCAGGGCCAGGAAGCCCCAGGCTCTAGGGAATGGGAGGACTCCTAGCTCTCACCCAGATAATTGCGGCTCCTGTCAGTGACTCTGATATGCCGGGCACCAATGGGAATAAGGGTCACATTCCAGTAGCCATATGATTGACCTGATAGGAAATGAAGTGGGGGGGAGAGAAGGCAAATGAGCTTCAAAGCTTTGACCTTGCTGCCCTCCCCCAAGAGTCATAAGCACACTTGCACTCAGGGTCCCAGCCATGTGGGTCTACACACGTGGGAGTGTCCAGGCTGTGCAAGCCTGTGTGTACTTTGGGGAGCATGCACGTGGGTAAAGTACAGTGGAAAGAGCTTTGCTCTGGGCATCACGTCATGACTGCCACTAATCCGCTATCTGAGCTTATTCTTCCCCAGTTGGGCTTCCTATCAAATGGAGGAGTTGAATTTGATGGTCTCTCTCAGCTCTGACATCCCATTTCTAAAGCCTCTTCCAGCTCCAACATGTCCCCTCCACACCTATTCTGACATTCTGTGTTCCAAGGTCCCTTCTAACTTGATGAGTCTAACAGCTCTGAAATTTTCTGTTCTGTGTCTGAAGGTCTCTCCTAGCTCTCACACTCTATGTTCTAAGGCCACCTCTGTGGGCCTCAGTTTCCTCATCTATCAAATAAAGGGGCTAGACTAAAGTCCCTTCTAATCTTAAATCTCTGATCCTTCAGGCTCAGACACATTATGCCTAAAGGTCTTTTCCCATAGCTCCTAGCTACGTTCCAGAAGCTAGAAGGGACAGGTGGGACAGGCAAGGAAGACGTCTGGGAACTCTGGGCCATGTAAAGCCTAGGGCAGGAAGGACCAGGTAAAGGAAAGAAAAGGGGCCATGGGGGAGCCCAGAAAGGAAGGATTCAGCCCTGCAGGGGCAGTCACCGGAGGGTGGGGTGGTCTCGCTGAAGACACGCTGGACGAAGAGACAGGAGCTGTTTCTGCCACCACATTGCCCACAGTTGTCCTCATGGTTCCCGGAGCCCAGGACCCCATCACAGCCTGCAGTCTGGGAGACATAGGTAGTGAGGGAAACCTGGCTCAGGAATGCCACTGGTCTCTGTGCCTCCACAGGGCTAGGGACTTCAGAGTTACCCTCCCTCATGCCCATCCCAGGAAACAGCCTTGGGCTGTCCACAGCTTTCCAGCCCCACCCCCCCCCCCCCCCCCCCCCCCCCCCCCCCCCGCCACTTCCCCCGGCAGCGTATGGTACTGAAGGTCAAAGGGCTCCCTGGGTATTTGTGGAAGAGGCCAGGTTAAGCTGGGGAAGGAGGCTCTCACAAGGCATCGGCCATTGATACAAAGCCCATCAGAGTCCAGGCTGCAGGGCGTCCCGTCCAGCACTCGTCCAAAGGTATAGTAGAAAGTGTGGCCCTCTGCCAGGCAGTTCAGGTCACACAGATTGGGAGCTGGCAGAGAAGAGGATGAAAGGTGGGGAGAAGGCCCCTAATTACATTCCCCCAAATGCTCTTCCCAAGAAGTTCTCCCTAATTAGTCTGCTCCATCATTCCATGTCCCCTTATCAATAAGGCTTAGGTCCCAGGTTTAAGTCGGGTATGAATCAGCTTCACAAGTTCCCTTTCCAATTCTTATGAGGGGGCATATCCCCAGGTCCCCTCAAATTGAAGTCTCTCTGAGGGCAGCAGCTTCCCAAGGGCAGGACCCAGTTTCTCCTATCTCCAGTTCCAGGTTCCGGCTAATTATTCAGGTACCCGCTCCCACACCTAGGTAGCCCTAAGCTGCCTGGGCAGTGAGGCTCAGGAGCGAGGAGGTACCAGAGTATCCAGCCTGGTCCCAACCACTCACCTCCATAGAAAGGGACCCACTGGTAGATGGCCTGGTCACCCAGAACAGGCCTACTGTTGTAGAGGGCACACTGCAGCTCCCTGAAGGGCATGGCACCAGAGGGGCATTCCTGCCAAGCAAAGCAGGGAGGGAAGGCTCTGTCACAGGGAAGAAAGGGCAGTGCCCTTGGTCTGGAAGATCAGAGGCTGCAGGGGAGAAGGGGGAAGGGTTGGCACTATGAGATTAGGGGAAGGGTGTTTTGGAGAGCAACTGGGGAAAGGAAAGTTGAGGGGATCAGGGCAGGAATTTTACCAATAGCACCTGAGGGACTCAAGGGATTATGTGTCAAGGGAAGGAGAGAAAAGTGAGATTGTAGGCAACACTGAAACAATCTTGACAAAATAGTATCCTTTAAAGAACTGGAAATTGCCGGGATGCCCATCAATTGGGGAATAGCTGAGCGAGTTACAGTATGTGAATGTGATAAAATACTGTTGTGCTGTAAGAAAGACAGAAGGGTATGTTTTGCATGACTTCACACGTATAATTGATCTCATATTGCTGGCTTTCTCGATAGGTGGGGGAGGGGCTGGAGAGAAGGCAAGAATCAGGAACTCAGAATTTTAACAAATGAATGTTAAAAGCCTCTGTCAGATTGCTTGCCCTCTTGAGGAAGGGGGAGGGGAGGGAAAGGAGGGAGAAAAAAATGTGGAACTCAAAATCTTATAAAAGTGAATGTTGAAAACTATCTTTACATGTAATTGGAAAAAATAAAATACTATTAAGTGGGGAGGGGAAATGAATGTTAAACAAAGTGTAATTATTTAAATAGGGAAAAAATGATGAAGGGGATGGTTTGAGAAAATGGTGTGTTGCGACAGAGTATTTAGAGGATGTGAGATGTTTGGAAAACACACTTGGAGCTATAATTGGGTAGGAGGAACAGCAGGATAGAATCTTGCCTACAGAGAGTAGATGGAGTGCCTGGTGTCCCTTGAGTCTGGGTGTGGGGGTGCATATAGGGCTGCAGAGGGTAAAGAGAGGGAATCAGATTCAGAGTCACAGACTAGGAGAGTCTTTAAAAAAAAAAAAGAATGTCAGAGCTGGGAGGGATTATCGAATAACCCCTCATTTTACAGGAGAATCAAGGACAAAAAATGAGGTGTCTGGCCTGCCCAAAGTCACAAAGCAGACCAGAAACAGAGCTGGGACCCAACCCTGGGTTTTCTGACCCAATGCTCTTTTCACGTAGCTGGGAGGGTGGGGTGTGATGAGCTGGAGGAGGGCATAATGTGTCATCCTGTAATTGGGAGTATCTGGAGGCTTTGGGAGAGAGGGGACACTGGCCTTTGGGGACTCACAGGGAGCCTGCATACGCGGTACTGGTGAGAATCTCCCCCGCAGGCATGTTCCCGGGAAATCCTGCAGGCAGATGGGGGTGGAGGTCAAAGGCTGTCACAAAAGAAGCAGCAGTGCCTGGCTTATAATACCCTCCCCCCATTTCCTGCATACACCGCTCCCAGCCTAGCCCCACATTCCGACAGGATTAAAGGGCTGTGCGCCTTGTTTGGGGCGTGGGGGTGCTCAGTGCCCAGGCCTGCCCTGACCCCCCTTCCCATCAATCCACACCTTCTCATCCTAAGCCCTGGGGGAGGGTGGAGTGGGAGGGGAAGGTAAATGCCTCAGGTCCCCCCCACCTCACTCGAGGAGATGCAGAGCTACTTGGGGAGGCCTGACTCTCCATGCTCCCCCAAATCCCCTAAGCTCCCATCCTCTCCCAGGCCTCCCACGGAAAGCACTCCTCCTTGGCTCTCCCTTCCCCATCAATCATCCAGGGGGTCTCACCGCACACATCTCCGGCTGCGCACTGAAGCCCCCTGCCCGCAAGTGCTGGAGCAGCCGCTCCAAGCCCCCCAGGACGTCCACTCACTGGACTCAGACCTTCCCTACTTGGAGGAAGATGGCTGTTAGATGGGTCCAGGAGTCCCAGCTCCCCGGGGGTTTCCTCTGGGCCCCTTTATAGAGCCAGGAAAGGAGGTACGAAGGCCCCCAGGGGCCCTGTCCTCCTCGGGGCGACTCCTCCCTCTGTCAACATGGCCCAGCCCCAACTGCTTCCTCTGCCCTATGCGGAGGCAGGCAGCAAATCCGGGGAACTTTCAGAGCTCCCGGGACGCAGCTCCAGGGTACTGGGTGCCACCTAGCCCCGGCCTGTTCAATCGGCTTCAGCCCCAGCCCCCATGGGGGTGTAAGGGGGGACAAAGAGGGGAAATGAGCACGGGTGGGGCCCTAGAGGCTGGTGGGATGTGAGGAGGTGGGGTACAGAGGAGTGGATATCGGCAGGTGAGGTAGGGGGGCACCTCAGGGCCTGGTAAAATTGTGGCTGTGGCTGTGAGGGGGGAGGGGCTGCAAAAAGGAGAGCTGACACTCCCCCCCCCCCCCCCCCGGACCCCCAAAAAACCCCTTCCTTCCCCGGCCCCCCGCCCCCCCCCCCTCGCCTCCCCTGGGCCAAATTCCATGGAGGGTAGAGGCTAGAGATGCGGGGGCTGAGTTTCTTAGGACTGGAAAGAGCCCATAAACACAGGGTAAGGCCAGCTTGTAACCTCTGGCTGGAATCCCCCTCCATTAACAAGGCACACACACACAGAGTGAGCTCCTCCCTCAAAAGCAGCTGACCTTCTATACAAACCCTCCCACCCCCAGCTTTGGGGCCTGGACCAGACTTGGGTCTGTGGATGGGGGGTTGGGGGATCTCTCAGTAACACACGAACATCCTGCTCCCTGTGCTATGAGGCTGCTATTCTCCCCACCCTCAAAGGTCACGAGCTAGGAGCTCCATCCATCCCAGTGAGCAACACAGGATTGTAGGAAAAGGCCCATGCAGCTTCAGGTCAGGGAAAGTGCCTCAAGCCCTGAAGGAGTCCCAGGCTAAGACTTCCTCTGCTGTCCCTTTCCCCCAGGGGGTTGGGGGGTGGGCAGCAGTTCCCAGACGGGGTGAGAAGGAGGCCAGAAGAAGGTGGCTATAACCAAGGAGGTGGCTGGGGCTTCTGGGACAACGAGGATGTCAGACTCAGGCGTGTTCCCTTTACCTGAGTCCTCCCCTCCAGACCACAGCATAGGTATATCCAGATCAGAAGCAGGACTGGTCGAGGCCTGGGCCTAAGAGCAGCAAACGGTAAAGATTAGGGGCCCCAGGGGCCCAGGGGAAGGGTCCTCTATCTGTCTTACCTTCCCAACTTAAAAACAACAGCTAGCATTTTTTGTATCGCTTTAAGGTTGACAAAGCACTTTACATATATTATCTCATCTGACCCTTACAATAGCCCTGGCAGGTAGATAGGTGCCCAATTTACATAAAAATAATTTAAATTTAATTACCCCAATTTAACTAATGAGGAAACTGAGGCTAAGAGACTTAACTGAGGTTAAGTGACTTGCCCTGGGTCACACAGTTAGAAAGTATCTGGGGAAGGATTTCAACTTAGGTCTTCCTGAGTCTAGCATTCTCTCCTCCACCCCTCCAGCCTTTCCCCATCTCCTAATCTGCTTTTTTTTTCATTATTGTTGCTTCATTTCAGTCCTTTTCTACTCTTTGTGACTCTATATGGGGTTGGTTTGCCATTTCCTTCTCCAGCTCATTTTATAGATGAGGAAACTGAGGCCATCAGGGTTAAATGACTTGCCCAGGGTCACACAGCTACTAAGTGTCTGAGGCCAGATTTGAACTCAGGAAGATGAGTCTTCCTGACTCCAGGTCTGGTGCTCTATCCACTACATCACCTAGCTGCCCCCTAATCTGGTACACACTCTCGATATGGCCTTGGAGAAAACACTTCCCCACCTCCCATTTCCAGGGGATTCTCCATCACTGGAGGTCTGCCATGAGAGTCTGGATGATCACTTGCTGGGGATAAGAGTCCTGTTCAGCTATGTGCTGGACTAGCTGCTCTCTGTGGCCGCTTTCAGCTCTGACCTTCCAGGATTCTGCAACTAAATGACCTCGAAGACCTCTTCCAGCTAGCTCTGAGTGCCTTGTAACTACTTCCTGTATCTGTATTTCCTTGGCTGGGTACATGCCCTCCACCAGCCTGAGCCAAAACCCCTCTTTAGGATAGCAGATGATGTTTGAGAACTGCCATGTCAGGAAAATTTATCAGATGGCCATGACAGTGATGAACTGCTCTGAGCTTAGCTGGGCTGGTCCTCTGTGTCAAAGACTCTGTCCCTGGCCTGTACTCTACACATTTCTTGGAGGGACTTGATAAATATTGAATTTTTCCTTTTGTGATCTAAGATCCCTCCCAGTAGACAATCAAATAAGGGGAGAAGATCCTGGGACCTTGATGCCACATGTGGCCTTCTAGATCCTTGGGTGCGGCCTTTTGACTGAGCCCAGGTTTTAACTTTAAAAAATTTTTTAAATTAATAATTTATTTTTCGTTTTCAACATTCACTCCCATAAGTTTTTGAGTTTTTAATTTTTTTCTCTTCCTTCCCTGTCTCCCTCCCCAAGACGGGCGTGCAATTTGATTTAGGCTCTACATATACATTCCTATTAAACATATTTTCACATTAGTCATGTTGTAAAGAAGAATTAGGACCAATAGGAACCACAAGAAAGAAGAAACAAAAGAAAAAGAAGAAGAAAAGAGCAAATAGTATGCTTCGATCTGCATTCAGACGCCATAGTTCTTTCTCTGGATGTGGGTAGCATTTTCCATCATGAGTCTTTTGGAGATGTCTTAGATTCTTGCATTGCTGAGAAGTGAGTCCAAGTTTTACAGAACAAATCCTTTTATTAAGGGGATTTGTTCTGTGAAGTTTGGATTCAGTCAAAGGGCCGCACTCAAGGACCTAGAGGGCCACATGTGGCCTTGAGGCCAAAGGTTCCCTAGTTCCTATTAACTATTCAACTATCAAGCATTTACTAAGGGTCTACTATGTGCCAGGCATCGGGCACACAAAGATGAAAATGACACAGTCCTTACCCTCAAGAAGCTTACATTCTGTTGGAGGAGACAACACATATATCATACATATTTAAGTATAAACAAAATAAAAATGAGGTAATTTGAGGTTGAAAGCATCAGAAGCTGGGGGATGGGGTCAGGAAGGGTTTCATGGTGGTAATCATACAGGAGCTGAAATTTTGAAGGAAATAAGGGATTCCAAGAGGCAGAGGTGAGGAAGGATGGTGTTCCAGGGATGGGGGACAGCCAGTGCAAAAGCACAGAGGTGGGAAATGGGCTGAGATGTGAGAAAAATAGCAAAGAAGGCTTCTCAGGCTGGCTAGTTAAAGTAGAATTATAGGACAAGGCTGGAATAGTAGATTGGAGCCAGGTAGGATAACACTTTAAAAACTGAATAGAGGAATTCAAAAGATAATGGGCAGCCAATCACATTTATTGAGGAGGGGGAGTGACACGGTCAGACCTGTGCTTTTGGAAGGTCACTTTAGCAGCCAGGTAGAGGAGGGGTTGAAATGGGAAGAGACAAGGCTGGGAAATCAATCAGGAGTTTACACGGCATGGTGTTTTGAGGACGACCGTCCACCCAGAGTCAGGATCACAGCTTTAGGGATGAAGGAAGTCATCGAATCCAACTTGAATTTTTCAAAATTAAATGGCAGGGGTAGGTAGGTGGAATAGTGGCTAGAGCACCAGCCCTGGCGTCAGGAGGACCTGAATTCAAATCCGGCCTTAGATATTTACTAGCTGTGTAACCCTGGGCAAGTCACTTGACTCCATTGCCTCCCTCCAAAAAATTACATGGTAGGGCCAAAACCAAAGTCCATTGACTCCAAATCCAGCACTTTCTCCACTATATGACACTGATTTGTGGGTTCAAGTCTTGCCTCTCAGTGCCCTGGGCAACCCTCTAAATTTGTTTTTCAGTCATGTCAGACTCTTTGTGACCCCATTTGGAGTTTTCTTCACAAAGATACTGGAGTGGTTTATCATTTCCTTCTCCAGCTCATTTTACAGTTGAGGAAACTGAGGCAAAGAGAGTTAAATGATTTGCCCAGGGTCATATAGCTAGTGTCTGAGGCCAGATTTGAATTTAGGTCTTTCTGACTCCGGACAATTGCACCACCTAGATGCCTCTGATCAGGAGACCTAGCTCCAGTATTTACTACCTGAAAGACCATGAGTGAGGCACTCTATCTTTCCTGGACTCAGTTTCCTCATCTGTAAAATGAAGGGGGGTGGAGTTGGGGTGGCCTTGATGGTCTCTAAAGTCCCAACTATAAATCCTATGAACCGAGACTGAAGAGGAAAGATCAGTATGGACCTGGGGATTAGTTACTTCCCACAAATACTTATTAAGTACCTACAATGGGACAGGCACTGTGCAAGAATTACACAAACAAGACCCTCCATCTCTGGGCTGTCCCCCATGCATGCAATGCCCTCCCTCCTCCTTTCTGACTACTGGCCACCCTGGCTTCCTTTAAATCCCAACTAAAAGTTTCACCTTCTACTGGAAGCCTTTCCCAACTCCTCTTAATTCCAGTCCCTTCCTTCTGCCAATTATTTCCTATTTATCCTGTATAGAGCTTACTTTGTATACATTTGTTTGCATGTATTCTCCCTCATTAGACTGTAAGCTCCTTGAGGGCAGGGGCTATCTTTTGCCTCTTTTTGTATCTCCAGTGCTTAGCATAGTACCTGGCACATAGCAGGTGCTTAATAAATATTGATTGATCGATTGATTGACTGATACAAAAACAAAAGTGAAAGTCCCTGCCCCTGAGCTGCTAGGGTTGAAATCAGAAACACCTGGGTTTGAATTCTACCTCATACATTTACCAACAGGGTAAATCCCTTATTCTCTCTGAACCTGTTTCCTCATCTGTGAAATGGGTACAATAATAGCACCTACTTCACAGGGCTCCTATAATGGCTGTTGTAAGGATCAAATGAGATAACATATGTAAAGCACTTTGAAAACCTTGAAGTAATATATGAATACAAGCTATTATTATCATCATCCTTATCATCATTCAGTTAAGGGATACCTAATGTAGGCAAATCAGTAAATACAGGACCTTGAGAAAGAAGAGAGGCTCAGATTCAGGGCAGGATACCATGGATGTGGGCCTTCGGGGAGCTCCAAATTAACCCCCCACACACACAGGATGGATTTGTAGTTCAGCTGTTCTCTGGCCTGAGTATCAAGTGCATATGAGCACTGCTGTAAAAATCTGTGACTTCTGACTACATAAACTGAGGAAGGTATCCTACCCTGTCTGAGTTTCTGTTTTCTCATCTGTCAAACAGCCCCTCTGGGGGAAGGGGGCAGCACCCTGTCCTCATCAGCCACACCCTTATCCTGACTCTGACCCCCCCACCCCTCCTGGCTCCCGTATACCAATGTCCCTAACCCCTTATCTCTGAGCACAGGCCTGGTCACTGATCTGATGTTGACAGGAAAATAAGCAGCTGCCTACATCTCTCAGTGGGGAGAGTGTTTGGATGGTAGGGAAACTAGGTGGAGAAGGCAGGATTGGGGTGGACATCCCAAATGAGGAGGTCAGTGGTCAAGGCTTGCCCAAGCTTGGCAGCACCCACTGGGCACTGGGCTTCTTTATGCAACTTAGGACTGGTCTGGGAGCTACATTCAGGCTCCCCAAGGAATTGTATCCAGGCTTACAACTGTCCTCCCCAGTAAGTACCAACAATCCCTTAGTCTCTGGTGGCAAACGTGACCAGAAAAAAACCCAGCTGTCAAGGGCACCAAAGGATCACAGAAACATGGAATGTCAGAACTGAAAAGGACCTTAGAGTCCAGTCCTGTCATGTGACAGATGGGAAATCTGAATCCCAGAGACGGAAAGTGACTTGTCCAAAGTCACGAAGTGAGCAAGGAACACTAGGGCCTGCCCTCTCCACTGAGAAATCCACAAACAACAGGGCAGACCACACTGGAGGTCCCCAGGTGCGTCCCTTCTCTCTTCATTTTCTATTGACTCAGCCTCTACTCTCAGGGATTGGAACTGTTGATTGTGGGAAGGATCTCGAAGAAATGAGGCAGTGTTCTGCAATGGAAAAAACTCTGGTTTTGTCCTCAGGAGACCTGGCCTCCCTGTGGACTAAGTCACTTCCACTCTCTGGCCCTCAATTGTTCCTTCTGTGATAGAAAGGGCCTGGGTTAGATGACCTCTTAATAAGGTCATTTCTAGCTGGAACATCCTTGAATTCTCTAAAGCTACCCCAAGAAGGTAGTGTGACTTCAAGAGCATCCTTTTGGAAAATAACCCACCAAGCCTTGGGCCGGGCCAACGTGGGGGTGGGGATAGGGGAGGCCAAGGGAGGAATGAGCTTGGGCTGGTGTATGACTCTTTGAACACCCACAGAGAATCCCCCGGGGAAAGGAGGCAAGACTCTGGGAGCTGGAGTGGGGGGAGGAGCAGGGAGATTACCGATCTACTCCTGGCTGAGTGCCTGACTTTCCGTGAGAAGAGACATTGGCCTGGGAAATCCTGGGTTCTCCTTGCTTATCATGCCTCTGGGCCCAAGTTCCTATCTCTCAGAACATCTTGGTTCTAGATGAACAAGTGAGGAGAACCCACCATCCCAGTTCCCCTAAAAGGAAGTGCTTTTGAGAAGCTTGTAGGAAAATACTGTTGATATCCTCTGAGGGACAAGGAATTTAGCCTGGAATTGGGGGTGGGGATCTGCAATCTAGAGAGAGGGGATAGGCTGACCCCTGGGGAAGGTTTTGATAGTTTAGGAAGGAAGGGCTTAGAGGGAAGGAGAGAAAAGGTGGGTGATGAGAAATGAGGAGGATGGAGGTGGGGGCTTAGGTTTGGTTCCTGGGCTAGCTGAAGGAATTGATCAGGGGGAACTGCCACCCTACTTTGCCTAATCTCCCCCTCGCCCTGCTTCCCAGCAAAATTTTAGGGGGATGGTTAAAGAGAAGTTAATTAAGAGAACCTGGGTCTAGTACCAAATCTGCCACTAGGCAAATGTGTGACTTTGACTAAGTCCCCCTCTGGGCCTCAATTTTCCCATCTTTTAAGATGAGGAGGTTGGGCTAAATGACCCTTTCAGCTCTGACATTCTATGTTCTAAAGTCCTTTCCAGCTCAGCCATTCCATGACCTAACTTCTGAAGTCCTTCCCCGCTCCCCCCCCCCCAGCTGTAAAGTTCCCTGAGACCCATTTCTTCATGGAGAGGATAGGGACACAGCCTGTTCCCCAAAGCTTCTTTGGAAGGAATCTGGGGGAGTGGGGAGGTCCAGGGTTCAGCACACTGCTGGGAGGGTAAGGGAAGGGGGAATGGTCCCCAACCCCATCGTTCCCTGGGTGGGGGGAACCCTTGAAGGGTCCAGGGACTTACCAGAGTTTCCCGGCTGGGTGTTCAACCCGAGCCTCTTGGGTCCCCACGGGAGGTGGCATCTGGGGGGGAGGGCGCGGTCGCGCGTGGGGCTGGACGGGCCACCTCTCCCTAACCTGGGCCGAGTGTCTGAGCAGCTCTCCTGGCCGGGACTGGCGAGCTGTGGGGTGCTGCCCGAGCAGCGGCCCCTCCCACCCGGGGCCGGCAGGAGGAGGGAGGCGGGGGCGCCTTCGGGGCCCCGCATCCTCCTAGGCCCCCACCCCTTCCACCCCACCCAGGTCCCATTAACCCCTCCAAGCTCATCCTGAGACTGTGGGCTCTTGGCTCTATTAAGCGGAGCTGCCAGGCACCTCAGGGGTTAAACATATGGGAGTTGAGGAAGTGGGGAGGGAAAGGACTGCGCTCCTTTGGGCTCTGCGGCAGGGGATTGCTCTGTCAGGTGCGGAGCTGTGGGCATTGGGGTCTCCCCAGTAGGGGAGAAGCTTCAGCCTGGGGACCACCCCCTCCCCCAGCCGCTCGGCTGGAGCGGGGAGGGGCGGGGCCGGATTGCCCTTCGGAGTTCGCTCTCTGGGCTCCCGGAACCCAAGAGCCGGAGCTGGGGGTGGGTGGGGGGTTGGGATGGGGGACAACGGAGGGACATGGAACGACATGGAGACACGGAGAGGACTCATTCTTGCCGGCTGCCCCGCCTCCGGGGGGCCGGAGCCATAGTTGGGGCCCCAGGCGACCTGGAGCCCCAGTCTGCCGAGCCGTGCAGTGACCTTGGGTATCTCCACTGTCCCGGGAGGGGAGGGGAGAGGGCGGGGCGAGGGAGGGAGCCATCATAGTCCCTCCCCTCTCCTTCTCTCCGCCTCCTCCCCTCTCCCAATCTCATTTTTCCTCTCCCCAATTACCATCACCATCCTCTCCTCTTCACCGCCCCCCACCCCGCCCCGAGCGTTGCTATTTCTGCTACTCTGCTCAGGCCCGGGAAATGTGAGCACGGGGTGCGGTGCTCCCAGGGGGGAGGAGAGAAGGAGAAAGGGAAGGGTGAGGCCAAGCTCGCCCCCGCTCCCCTTCTGGAGCTCCGAACACTCAGGGTCCGCAAGAAGAACCCTGGAGATCCTCGAGTGGTCCGGCCTCTTCTTTTTACAGATCGGGAAACTGAGGTCCAGAGCAAGAAACCCAGCCTGCCTTGAGCTGGACCCAGACTGGCGCTAGCGAGAGATCCTCCTTCCTACTCGTCCTCCCTAGGGACAGTCAGCCCATCCCCAGGAGTGACCCGGACAACTGGGTCCACAGAGCTGAGCCCCTGACCCCAGTCAGCTACTTACTAGGCCTCCCCTGCTCCGGACTCGGACACCTGTGTCCCCAGTCTGAATACAGGGACCGGGTAGGCCAAAGCAAGTAGAAACCCTCAACACTGTGACCCAGGGGTGTGCCTGCGAGACCGGAGAGCTCAGGATGCCGCTTCCAGCAGCATTAGACAAAGGGGTTAACTGAGGGGAGTGGGAGACTGAGGAGAGGAGGGTACACTACACAGCGACTTCTGCCAGGCATGGCCCTGGTCGCCGAGCTAACGGGGGTATTGGGGGGGAGGGTCACAGGAGGGGGAGAAACAGCCACGAGAGAGCTGGGGCCCGGGGCTGGAGCCACGCTAGGACGCCACTGCACCCTGCCCTCCCCCGGGGCTGGGTAAACAAGGAGATCGGATGTCACTGGCGCGTTCCAGGGAGCTGCCGTCATTGGGATGGGGGGGTAGTAGAAAGAGACCTCGGAGATTGGGGAGCCCTCCCCTAGCCCTAGATCACCGGTAATCCATCTCTTAAGCTTCCCTCTCCTGCTCACAGGCCCGTACCTCCAGACCCCTGTCCTTGTCCCTGAGCTCTCTTGGACCCCTCCCCTGTTTTTAGATGGTCCCTTTCCGTATCCCAAACCCCTTTCCTGTCCCTGGGCCCCCAACCCCACTCTGAGCCCTGATTCTCATTCTCCCACTCCTGCGCTCCCATCCCTGCCTCCTTAGGGAGGGGGATTCAGCAAGGGAGGATGAGGATACAAGAAGGAGGGACAGCAGTGAAGCAAGGAAAAGGCTTTTGGAGGGTTTCAAAGAAGAAAAGATGAAGGGCTGAGTGGGAAATTGAGCAAGAGCCCCTAGAAATAGGTACTGAGGAGAGGCCCCAGGAGGGAAGGGGAGAGGGTGTGCAGTTCCCTGCTCTCACAGCCTTGAAGTGAAAACAAGCCCTGGCCTGGGAATCCAGACACCTTGGTTCTAGTGCTGGCTTTGCCAATGGAATCATTGAATGCTAGAATTGGGGAGAACCTTATGTTAATATTGATGGTTAAAGGTGGAAAGAGCCCTTAGGACTCAGGGATCGTAGAATAATAACAATTTACATTTATGTAACACCACCCATCTTACATATATTTCCTCATCAGGTCCTCAAAACAAACCTGTGAGGCAGGTTCTATTATTGTCCTCATTTTACAGTTGAGGACACTGAGGCTCAGAGAAGTTGTGATTTGCCAATTGCCATAATAGTTATGTGTCAGATCTGGGTCTTCCTGACTCTAACTCCATTCATCACATTATAAAATCACATCACTCTACAAAAGAGATAAAAGGGACCTTATCGAAGCCCAGCTTCTTAGTTTTATAGATGGGGACACAGCTCAGAGATATAAAAGGTCTTGTCCAGGGTCACAGAGCAAATAAGTGGCAGAAAATGAAGACCCAGATCTGTAGATCCCCCAGTTACTGCCCTGGAAGGTTGGGGATTGCTGGTGAGGACAATGGGTTTAAAAGGGTAAAAATACTCTGGCTTCCCTGCAGAGCCATGGGCTCTCAGACAATGCCCTTGGCCCTACTCCCAGCTCCATTGGCCTCTCTTCCCTCCCCCCATTCTCCAGACCCCATGTTTCTTATCTCCTTTTTTTCCCACAAAAATCAATCCACTTTATTAAAAACTCTGTTGGGAGAAGCACTGCCAGAGGTTTCCTAATACTGTAGGCCTAAGAGCCATTAGGGGGCACTGCTTACCTACTGAGATCACTCTGGAAGCTGGGCACTTCTTACATAAAATCGGAAACTGATCTTTTCCTGGAACTTTAGAACCAATTCAGAGCTAGAAGAGACCAGCCACTCAGCCTCTGATGGCATCATCGGCTTTTACTTAATTTCTCTGAAAATTTTGATTCTACCATTCACTTGCTTTGTAACCTTGGTTACTCAGAAGTCTCTTCTAGATGTAAAATTCAGGAGAGTAGGCTAAGAACAAGGCTTGTGGTCAACAGCCTATGGAATTGGGCGCATTCAGAGTGTTGATCAACAAACATGTATGAAATATCTGTTATGTTCCAGGCACTGTGTTCCATACAAAGACAAAAAAGCAATCACTGTCCTCAAAGAGCTATAGGGGAGACAACACATACAGGTGTTTGTTTTTTTTTTAATTTTTTTTGGAGGCAATTGGGGTTAAATGACTTACCTAGGGTCTTACAGCTAGTAAGTGTCTGAGGTCAGATTTGAACTCAGGACCTCCTGACTTCAGGGCTAGTGCTTTATCCACTGTACCACCTAGCTGCCCAGCACATAAAATTTTTGCAGACTTCTGCCCCAAATAAGGAAAGCCTTCAGGATCATGGTCATCCCACATGGAAAGGAAAGCATTGACGGTCCCCCAGCATCCTGGTGACCTCACTGGCCGTTAAAGGATTTAAAGCTGAGAGAGATCTTTGGACCATCTGGTACAATGCCCTCTTTTTACGGTTGAGGCATCTAAGTCCCAGAAAGGAGGTCTTTCTTGCTTGAAGCCATACAGGTTATATAATCAAAGCCCAAATGTAAACCTAAGTCCTCTGACTTTAGAGGCTGCTAAGTGGTTTATGGATACAGTGTTGGCCTTAGAGTCAAGAAGACCTGAGTTCAAATCATGAGTGAAACACTTAGGAACTGTATTACCCCCCAAAAAGTCATGAAACTTTTCTGTGCCTCAGTTTTCTCATTTACTAAATGAGGGGGTTGAGAATGATAACCCCTAAGGTCCCTTAGCCTAGGGCTAAGGCTCTTTTCGAGGGTACCACGCTGCCCATTTAGCTAAGCCTACATGTGTCTTTCTAGTTTTCTCTTCTGTGGGACTCTGGGGTTTATTTTCCTTACAAACAGCCCTGTAGGGGCAGCTAGGTGGCAAAGTGGATAGAGCACCGGCCCTGAAGTGAGGAAGACCTGAGTTTAAATCTGGCCTCAGACCAAACACTTGACACTTACTAGCTGTGTGACCCTGGGCAAGTCACTTAACCCCAATTGCCTAAAAAATAAAACAAAACAATAACAAAAAAAAAACAGCCCTTTGACATTCACAGGGCAAGTATTATTAGCCCCACTTGATAGATGAGGAAGCTGAGGGAAGATAGAAATGATTTGCAGGACCTGAGGAAGCCTTTCTGAGCATTGTCCCTTTCCTCTGTGCTCTTGCATCCTTCACGGTCTGCCTCCCTCAGCTGGCCCTTCATGCAACCTAACTTAGATTCACTGAATGCATTTAAGGGTTGGGGAGAGGGGACCCTGCATATTCCTAGGTGTCACTTGGAGACTGAATGGGCAACCACTCCCAGTATCCTCCCTTGCTAGGAAAGGATGGAATCCCCACAGCTAGCAGAGGATCTGAAGGCTCAGGGATCACCATCCCCTCACCCCTAGGGAGAGGCATGCCCTCAAAGCCCTAGGACAAAGATAGAGAAGACTCCCTCCAGCCCAAGCATTTCTACTCTTGACCAAGCAACTATACTGATTTCTCAGGTGAGGAAACTGAGGCTCACAGTTGGTGGGGAGGGGGACTTAAAAGCACTTATACATACAGAGGACAGACATGCAAACACACATAGTAACATATGCCCAACACACCCCCGGTATACTCAGGGCACACCCTCACATACACAGTCACATATACATAATACTTGCATATATGCACGTTCACTTAATTAATCTTATATATACACAGAATTCAAGCTCACATGCCTATACACATACACATATATTGCTTTGTTCATACACACATAGAGGACGAAGCCACATACACACAATATCCCCACTCACAAATACGCGGATACCCACACCCAAAACTGTCATATATACACACAACACTGAGAGCGACACATTTACATATTCACTGGACACACGTTCACACATCCCGGACATATGCTAAGGCGCACAACTGCGCGCGCACACACAGATTTGCCTACAGAATCTCAGACACACACAAACTCCCACACACAATCTCCTAGCATCAGCCGTGTGCGTGCCGGGCTCGCCTCCCTCCTTCCCCCTCCCATGCCGCCCCCCCGCCCTCCGCCCCCCAGGGCTCTCACCCTCCTCCGATTCCCCCTCCCTCCTGTCTTCTCTACAGCCAATCACCGAGGGAGGGAGGCCAGGAGGCCTGGCCCCGGGGGGTATATGAACCTTCCCGGGGACTCCCCCAGGCATAGTCAGAGACTGGGAGGGAGAGGGAGAAGTAGCCGGAGAGGGAGAGAAGGAAGGAGGGAGGGAGAGGGAGGGAAGGTGGGTGGGAGAGCCCAGCTGGGCCTGGGTAGGGGTTAGGGGTGTGTAGGAGGGTGGGGATGGAGCTGAGAGTCCTCAGGAGGTGGGGGGCCCAGGAGCCTGTAGCCTCCTTCCTCCGGGACCCGAACACAGGGCGCATCTACAGGCGGGGGCGACTGCTGGGCACGGTAAGGGCTGAGGGGAGGGGGAGTCCTGGGAGCCTGGGGGTTAGAGAGGGAAGGATGAGGACAATGAGCTATAAGTGGGGGCCAAGCGGGAAGGGAGGGAAGGGGAGGGGAGCCAGTATCCAGAGGGGCTAGCCTTTCTAAAGTCTCTTCCAGCTCTAAATCCTCACATTCTGACTGGCCCACTTTCCTAGACTTACTTAGCTCTTCTGTTTCCTCCTCCTGGGTCTGTCTTCACCCCTGGTCAGGCTGCAGAGTGTGTGTGTGTGTGTGTGTGTGTGTGTGTGTGTGTGTGTGTGTGTG